ACCATGTCTCACATATAGAAACTCATATACATATATGACATATATTGCGTCTATCGAAACGTTGAGACCGATAAGCCTTACCATATATCCTGACATTAATTTTTATCATACCTGAGCAATTATTTAATGGCTAATGGGTCGATGGGATTGAAAATTACACTTTGCAAGAGTTTGTTTGCGAATTTTGCCCTTTTTAATGCATAAGATTCCTTAAAATGCCTATAAAGCCTTCTCGTAAAAACATACAAAATTATTGAGATTATAATAATATTGGTTGTTGTCATGGAGATCATTTAATAAAAATTTTGAAAGCATCTTGAAAGTATCATAAGAGGTCCATCTGCTACTCCCCAAAATTTTTGGCTAGCATAATATTTCGGACACAAGGATAAGTGTAGAGCACAGTTAATAAAATAAATAAAGTACGGCATGGTTAAGTTCGGGTGTAACCGAGCACTTTATACTCTCGCATTTGCAAAACTCAAAGACCAGAAATTGAAAGGCATGGAAATTTTGTATTAAAAAATGTTGCTTATAAATTAAGCATTCATTAGTCGACGAAACCGGGACTTGATAACTTACTTACATATTTTCTTTTCAGTTTCAGTCATGTTTGGGGCGCCATTCTATATATATTGTAGGACAGTTCCGACAATATTTAATAAACCCACCCACAATATAAGTGCCTTTGATGAATGCTGCCTTATTAAACACCTCTTTTGCGACCACGACTCAAAGTTTTTTTGGTATGAGTCCCTCATTGACACGCTTCAAATCCAAAACATACATAGAACGTATTCGGTCGATCCATAAGAGGAGTTGAGATCATATACAATTTTTGTAATACAAACTCAACCAATGAAACAAAATTTAATATATTGGATATTTGGGGAAAAAACCGAGAGGAAGAACGTCTGAACGAAATTTTTAACATTACTATGTTATAGTGTGAAAATAACGAAACCGGACTACAACCATGCCTACTTACCATATAATACGAATTTAAATTTTCTTTTGCTTTCCAGTGTACACATCTAGAAGCAATAAATGAAACTTTTAGTTCCTGTTTAGTATGCCACCAAATGCTAGAAAATTATCCAAATCAAACCAAAATTGTTCACAACCATAGCCTCCCACAATAAATATAATTGACTTTTGACATAAAATACAGGTCGCTGTGTTGGATATATAATTGAAACTCAGAGTATAATAATATTTCTGTGTGGAAATTAGGTTGAATCAGCTCAATATTTCCTTAGCCCAAATAGCCTAATATTATATAAAATTTTTCGAACTTCCGCGTGTATCTTTGTGCTTATGGGGCTATCAGAAGTATTTCACTACAATGTTATTAAAAAGAGGATCTCTCTGAATTTCATTAAGATATTATATGCTGTGATATTTGCAGTAAAAAGTTGCCTTAGGGGTCCCCTATATTTTCGGTAACTGCAGGCTTGAAAAATAAACTTAAGCCCACCTTAAAGACACTATTAGCGCGAAAATAAGATTGTATACGATTTGTTTATGGATCAGACGGAATGAAAAATTCGTTTATATAGGAAGTAAGGTGGTTATGGTCAGATATCGTCATTTTCACACAGCAACTTAGGAATGTCAGAATAAAGTTTTGATGCAATTGGTTGTATAGATTTTGATGTATGATATTTAGACTATAGGTGTTCCATTATCTACAAGTATTATGACCCCATACATGGCTAACGGTAGCATATTGGCTGTGTATTCATTTAGTTAGTTTCGCCCTTTTAGTAGTTTTCAACATTACCATTATATAGTGACTGTGTGGGGTTATTAGCCGATGTTACCCATTTGAACACTATTGAAGGCAGTACTCCTGAACGAACTTGGTTGCTATGGTTTAACGGTTTTTTGAGATTTTCAAACGAAAAATGGAATGCCTTTATGTGATTGATTAGAAGCTTAGTTAGAGCATGTTATACATTTCCAATTAATAGCAATTTTTGGGCGTGGCAGTAGTCCGATTATGATCATACATGGTGCCATGGATGGTCAAGATGACTTTATTTTAATTTATGGATGGACATCACGCGGATTTTAGCTTATGTTGTAATTTTGCTGATTTAGATACATGTATTTAACTCTACATTTATTCAAATAGTTTGAAACGTTATACTTTATGTAGCATGAGAATTAAAATTTACACACTTGAGCGAAAAGAGTGTTTATTTTTCAAGGTGGAGCATCGAGTCGCGTACACTTCCTTTCTGTTTTTTTTTGTCAGTCAAAAGAAATATGTCCAATTAAACAGCCACCGGGTGACTTGCCACAGTTGCCACAACTGTCCATCAGTTCGACTGTCCTCGCTTAGCGGCTGTCAACTTGGCCACTGGACACGTTTGTCAATTTTCGCGCCTAATCACATAAAAGAAAATAACAAGCAAATTAAAAAATATTGAAAATAAATGTAAAAGTGTATTTGTTGTATTTGAAGGATTTATTGGACAGCTGTCAATGACAGTTGCTACTAAGTATGCTTTGTATATATGTGTTTAGGTATACCGCACCTGCTGACGCAATGAAAGCCTTGAGGCAATGCGCGCCCACACCACTTCCGGTGTAGACTTTTTAATCGCCGATTCTCTTAGCCGTCGCCGACGACTTTTTCCGCCATTGCACCCGTTGTTCGCAATTGCGCCGTTCAATGTCATTGCCACAGCGACTCCCGCCGCTTGCGCCGCAGCCACCGCCGCCCAAAGTCTGCCACTGCTGTTGTTAATACCCTCCTTTTACGGTTAAATGCCTTTTAAGCGTGCATTTACGAGTCTATGTCTTAATATGTCAGTCTTATGTGCATGCGCGTGTGTGCGTGTGTTCATAAGGCTCCAACCATATTACAGCGGTAGTGAATATACGTCGTGCCAACCTGGCTGCGCTGACTTAGGCTGCTCTAAATGGCTTTTATTGATTGAAAATTATAGCAATTCGCATTCGCGCTTGGAGGTGCCACAGAATTGGCATTTCAGCACCTTGTTGTACTTTTTTTCTCCTTGCGCTTTTGTTGCTGTGATTGGGGTGTTTTTCTCCCTACATTTGCTGTTGCTGTCTCTGCTTCCACTTTTGTGCTGGCACCTGCTTGGCACACTTCAATCATTAGAAGCATTTGCACAGTTTTGGTATCTACCACTTTTCCGCCTCCTCCAACGGCGTGTGACGACAGACAATGGCCGGCATACTGTCTGCTGAAACACCCATTTTTAGCATTCGGCTGTTGACACTCCGCGATTATATTTGGTTACTAGTTATATTATCGAGTTTGATGTTCTCTCGTTTGGTCCGATCGGCGGTGTTCCCTTGTGTATGGCTGCGCGTGATTGAATGTTTTTTGTTTCATAAGACTACAAGCTGTGTGTTGCAAGTTCATTATTGGAATTATAAATTCTTGAAATTATTGAAATATTTATTAAGTGTCGAGTTTTTGCAGAATATGATTGAAATTATTATTTATGAGTCACACGTGAAATGTCCATAACTGGTGACAACTTCCTTTCTAGCGAACAACAACCGACTTCCTTAATTCAATTAAACGTTCACATGTTGTATGAATCGACCATGGAAAGGAAAAAAAGAAAATTCAAACACGAAATATGTAGACACGCACAAATTATATATGGCATGACATTAATCCTTAACAGAGACTATTACCAAAATAAATCGAGACTGACGGCAAGTCATAAATTAACGTGATTAGATGAATTGTATAGACTATTACACTTGGAGAGATCGAAAGTTCTTAATATAATAGTTCAAATAAATTTATTCAAACTGTTCAAAACTTTCAAAATATTAAGCACTCTTATTTTTAATGATTCGGCAGCCACTTTGCGGCAACTAAACAATTACCCGAAAGCAAAGTTGAAAAAAACTGAAAAAAAATCATTACAAATTAGAAAACTTATATTTGTGTATGAAATTTATTGTCAACAAAATGGTGTTTTATGAATTTTAATAAAGTTAAACGTTTACGAGATATTCATCAATGCATATCATATGCGAGGTGCGTTCCAAAGTAAACAGGAATTTGCATCTAACGCCCCTGATGGCGCCATTTATATGTCGACTGGCGCGTTAGAATCTGCTATTTTATCGATTGTCCAGTGGAAATTTCATGATATTTCATGGATTGGAAGTGAAATTATTGCGTTTTAAGTGACAGTATGTCTGTAATCGGTGCGAAAATGAGCTGCGAACAAAGAGCCAACATTAAGTTTTGTTTTAAAATTGGTAAAATATTTATCGAAACGTTTGAACAGATGAAACAAGTTTATGGCGATGATTGCCTAACCCGTAGCAGAGTGCACGAGTAGTTTCAACGTTTTCAAAGTGCTCGTGAGGACATAAATGACGATCAACATGTGGGCCAATCAAAATCCGTGATCACCGGAAATTCCATCGAAACTGTGCGTGAATTCATCAAAAATCAGCCGACATCATCATTGAAATTCAAGGAAATGGAATTGAACATCTATAAAACATGGATTTATGGTATTTTGCCCGAACATTTGGGCTTACGAAAGGTGTGTGCACGGTTTGTTCCGCACAAATTGACTGACGACCAAAAATTGCAACCGATTCTTTGACCAAATTCACATTTTAACCGGTAAACACTCCCCGTATTCATCTGATAAGGCACCCCCTTTTCGGAAAAATGCATTTGCCCATAAAAGAAAGCGTCATGCAGACGTAGAGGCCATTCAAAAGGCTTGCACCGGCATACTGGCGGCTATACCGGCCAACGAGCTAAAACACTCGTTCGACATGCTTTTGGACCGTGCATAAAGCTATATTGAAGAAAAGGGAGACTATTTGGAATAAAATAAATTGATTTTGGTGAAAAAACCATTTGTTCTGTTTTTATTTTAAGTCATGTCTACTTTGGAACATAATGTGAATTCCGATCAGCTTTAGGTGCTGTAAAATTTAGATATAGGGTTCAGCACTCATGAAAGAAGAAAAATTCAAGATTTATGTTTTTCACATAGGTTTGTATTTAAATAACTCATATACATATGAAGAGTTACACTATTCACATTAAGAGAAAATGCTTGTTTGTTTTCTTTGATATTCACTTTTGCGACTCATTTTCAAAATGGGTTGAAAATAAAGCTTAGGAATGACTTAAATGGCGGTACTTAGCCACACAAAAGCGGATGTTCGTCGGTTTGATCGGGACAATCGAATTTGCCATCACATTTTTTGCTTAAATCTATGCATCCGCCACTTCCACATTAAAATCATTACAAATTTGAAACGATTCATCACTGCCATCCAAGCAATTGAATTCTTTATCACAAGCCTTTTCAATCGGTATACAAGCACCATAGTTACATTTAAATTCTCCATCAGAGCATAATGTTGATTTACAATCCATTTCATCAGATCCATCTAAGCACTCCACAGACCCATTACACCAGTCCAGATCATCAATGCATTCACCATTTTTACATCGTCTTCCCTCGCAATCTTCATCGGCATCAGCTAAAGAAAAATATAGAAAAAAAATTAAAATCGGTTTGATACTTGTGCTCAATTTATAAAATAACGTTATGTCACCAAAATAATTGTACGTAGCATTGCATATTTTAAGAGTACATTTTTCTTTGCATATATGTAACTAGCAAATCTATACGGTTTAATTCGCAGTATCCACACACATAAGCTGACTCATACAGAAGAAATTCTCATGTATAAAAAAATGTTTCTGTAGCATAAATATCAATGCCTTGATAACGATTATTTTAAGGGGTCAATGGGTTAATCTGGCCTATTTTGACATATTTTTTTTCTTAGAAATTTTTATTCTACAATAGAACTTTTTTCACATATGATGTGGTATATCGTGGAGTGTATAAAGAAATGTTTTCGGAATTTTTTGATGACATCTTTCGGAGAAATGGATGGGTGAATGAGATGCGTTTTTTCACCGGCGGACACGATTTCTCATGTTTGGATCATCTGAAACACAAAAACCCAATTTATTCTTAAAAAGTACGGGAATGATTATCGTCCTACTAGAATCATGATAAAATGTTGATAAAACAAAAGTATTTAACTTTTTATACTCTCGCAACAAGGTTGCTAAAGAGAGTATTATAGCTTTTTTCACATAACGGTTGTTTGTAAGTCCTAAAACTAAAAGAGTCAGATATAGGGTTATATATACCAAAGTGATCAGGGTGACGAGTAGAGTTGAAATCCGGATGTCTGTCTGTCCGTCCGTGCAAGCTGTAACTTGAGTAAAAATTGAGATATCATGATGAAACTTGGTACACGTATTTCCTGGCTCCATAAGAAGGTTAAGTTCGAAGATGGGCAAAGTCGGCCCACTGCCACGCCCACAAAATGGCGGAAACCGAAAACCTATAAAGTGTCATAAGTAAGCCACAAATAAAGATATTAAAATGAAATTTGGCACAAAAGATCGCATTAGGGAGGGGCATATTTGGACGTAATTTTTTTGGAAAACTTTTTTGTACATATCTCGAAAACTACTACAGATATGTCAACTAAACTCTATAGGGTCGTTTCCTTCAGACATTTCCATATATAGTTCAAAAATGGAAGAAATCGGATAATAACCACGACCACCTCCCATACAAAGGTTATGTTGAAAATTACTAAAAGTGCGTTAACCGACTAACAAAAAACGTCAGACACAATAAATTTTACGGAAGAAATGGCAGAAGGAAGCTGCAACCGGGCTTTTTTTAAAAATTGAAAATGGGCGTGGCGTCGCCCACTTATGGACCAAAAACCATATCTAAGGAAGTACTCCACCGATTTCAATGAAATTCGGTATATAATATTTTCTTAACACTCTGATAACATGTACCAAATATGGGTGAAATCAGTTTACAATCACGCCTGAAATCTCGATTATCACCTTATCATGCGAGAATATAAAATGTTCGGTGACAGCCGAGCTTAGCCCTTCCTTACTTGTTATACATAAATTTTATCATAACATTGTCAATAAATTATATAAAATTATGAATCTAGTAGGGACGATAGCCAGACGTTTTGTAAACATTTAAAAAAAAAATTAAGCAAATCGGTTGAGTAGTTCGAACGGAATAATGTTCGCCTGTTTAAAAAAGTGTGGTTTGAGAAAAACGCGTTTAAAGTTTGAGGTGTGCACTCCGAGCGCATCGAACTTTTGGGCCTTTTTCGAAACCTTCCGATGTTAAAGTGGGTTTCTACATTAATTCCAAGTGTATAAGGAAACAGAAAATGCAACTATTCGCAGAAAGAGATAGAAAAGTAGTTTTTATTTCATTGACACTGCAACAGTTTTCCGTTCAATGTATTCTGAGCTGTACCCAGATATCAATAGTTTTCATTATGTATTCAAATAGTATATAGCTATGCAAAAGAACAATTTACACTTGCAGTTAAAGTCTAATTTCTTTTCACCGATTAAATATATAACATTGCTGTCCCAAAAATTGGAGAACAGTCGTTATTTTTTATTTTTTTTTTTTGTCACATACCCTTTACTGCTAAGGCAACATAGCAGATAAGCACAAAAATCACGAAACGCATATTTCTGTATATATTTATGTATGTAGTTCACAAGAAGTTTATTTATTCCGTAGCAACTGCTCGCGTTCCTCTATAATTGACTACTGATTAAAGCTTTAGCACAATGAAGTACTTAAAGACTTGAGAAGTGGCTTGTTCTTTAAACATCATGCGCTCAGATGATGGTGGTTCGACCAATCGCATTTGAGAAATATATCGGCCATATTCAAGCAGCATATACATACGAATCTAGTAAAATGCGGCTAGGTTCAGGTCAGGAATTATTGATTGAAGTACATATATATATGAAATTCTGAGGAAAACCGGGACTGATTATATTATTGTGTCAAATAAAACGAAAAATATTTAATTATACATCAAAACACTTGATCCATGAATTGATGTTCCACAATTACGGTCGTTTTCAACAGATGTTCTTAAGCAATATAATATGGTCATATAGAACTCCCTGTTGAACTCCCAAAACACGAATATTGAAACGAAAAATGACACGCCTTGATTTTTGAGCGGACATTTTTCTTCTATTCCGATGATCGTTAACTTGTTTGCGTTTCTCTTCGGCAGTTACAATCCTCTCCATGAATGTGTGATCGGAATTCTCACTATCAAGCATATCCAAAGAGATATGTTAATGGAACTCTTTTTGAAAAAAAAAATCAGCTTTTTCGGGATAAGTCGAGCAAGAAGGCGTATCATATTTAAAATATCCATTTAAACGGACTCACGAGAAATGTCGGGCTATCTTGCCATTGGACGTTTTTCTAGCACCATATGCTCTACTTTTTTAATATTTTCATCAGTTTAAGAGGTCGAAGATCATCCAGAACCAGGCATGTCTTCAAGGTTTTTGATAAAACTGAATTACCGCTAGCATGATTTCGCAGAAGAAATTAGAAATAAAAAATTTTAGACAAAGATATTTCCAAAACATCGATTTTTCGCATTTTGACCGAATATTTGACCTTACGAAAGGTGTGTACCGTCTCACCGATCGACGCTTGTGACCGATTATTTCACAAAAAATCACATTTTAACCATTAACCACTCCCCGTATTCACCTGATATGGCACCGTGCGACTTCTTCCCGTTCGGAAAAACGCAGTTTCCCAGGAAATGAAAGCGTTATGCGGACGTAGAGGCCATTCAAAAGGCTTTCATCGGCATACTGGCGGCCCTACCGGCCAACGAGCTAAAACACTCATTCGACACGCTTTTGGACCGTGCAAAAAGATGTATTCAAGCAGAAGGAGACTATTTTGAGTAAAATAAATTGATTTTGCTTTGGGAAGCTCCGTGTTTATGCTATATTGGGGTCAAAGTAATGGACATTAATTTTTGAAATTTCTCAATTATATTCAAATTCATCACCATTTATCCATCACCGATCTTGAGACCCAGCATTTATTATTGGATAATATTCAGAATGTCTCGCACGAAGTGAAGAAAATATAGCAGCCGCAGCAGAGGGTGTACTCGAGGATCGTTGAGAAGGGATTCGGTATCGTACGCAGCAACTCGGACAAGAGTGTATTAAAAGTTTATAAAAACTAATTACACTTCATAATAAATGTGCGCTTTTGAAAAGTTCTAAGAAGATCCGATATTTTCTAGTCAAATTTTGTTTAACAATGAGGCAATTTCATCTGTGGAATCACTGCGTATATTGGCAAAGGTTTTCGGTGATTCAGTTTTATCAATAAAATAAGCCTACGGTGGAGCGATCGTTGAAGACATGCCTCGTTCTGGACGACTTTCGACCTATTCAACTGTTGAAAATATTAAAAGTGAAAGATATGGTGCTTTAAAATCACCAGGAAAGATTATAGAGAGATGATAAAAAACATCGACATCTCTCGCTAGTCCGCTCGAATGATTTTGGTGGATATTTTGTGTATGAAACGCGTTCTTGCTCGACTACCGCAAACAGGTCTCTTTGGATATTCTTGATCATGCGAATTTCTATTCCATATTTATGGAGAGCATTATAACTGCCGATGAGACCTGGATTTATGACTTTGACATGCAAAAAAGACAACAGCCATCGAAATGGAACTCGTTTTCAGTCGATCGAAGAAATAAAACAAAATTCGCTGAAGGAGTTCAAGGCCATCTCAAAAAATGCTTATGCAAAAACCATTGGCATAAGTGTGTTACATTTAATGGGGATTACTTTAAAGGCGACAAAATAAACATGATGATTAAATATTTTCCGTATTATGTACGATTTCCTTTTTGTCGCAATGTACAAGGAGCATTCCAAAGTAAACAGGACTTAAAAGAAATAACAGAATAAATGATTTTTTCGCCAAAATCAATTCATTTTATTCCAAATAGTCTCCTTCTGCTTCAATACAGCTTTTCGCACGGTCCAAAAGCATGTCGAACGAGTGTTTTAGTGTGACGGCCGGTATGACCGTCAGCCTTTGAAATGGCCTCTACGTCCGCATAACGCTTTCCTTTCATGGGCAAACGCATTTTTCCTTGAGGTGCCTTATCAAGTGAATACGGGGAGTGGTTAATGGATAAAATGTGATTTTGGTCAAATAATTGTTCACAATGACGAACGTTGGATTCTGAGCAATTTTTGGTCGTCAGTCAATTTGTGCGGAACAAACCGTGCACACACTTTTCGTAAGCCCAAATGTTCGGTCAAAATACGATAAATCCATGTTTTATAGATGTTCAATTCCATTTCCTTAAATTTCAATGATGATGTCGGCTGATTTTTGGTAAATTCACGCACAATTTCGATGGAATTTCCGGTGATCACGTATTTTGATTGGCCCACATGTTGAACGTCATTTATGTCCTCACGAGCACTTTGAAAACGTTGAAACTACTCGTGCACTCTGCTACGGGATAGGCAATCATCGCCATAAACTTGTTTCATAAATTGAAACGTTTCAGAAAAAGTTTTACCAATTTTAAAACAAAATTCAATGTTGGCTCTTTGTTCGCAGCTCATTTTCGCACCGATAACACAAACATATTGACACTTAAAACGCAATAACTTCACTTTCAATACATGAAATGCCATGAAATCCTCACTGGACAATCGATCAGAAACATAAAATGTGTAGACCATTTATAACCAAAAACTATCCATATCGGATTAGAACTTTTCAAGGCCTCCATTACCAGACTCCAGTTCCTACTGATGAGGGAATCCTTACCTCACAATAATATGTCCATGTCCATAAAAACCATTTGAATTTATATTCAACACATATATACATACCAATATGCGAGTTATGTCATTGAGATCGAGTGAGCGTATTTTTTTTTACTTACAGTGTATCTTTGTGCCTGAATTGAATAAAATCGGCAGAAAACTTGCCATTGGCACATAGGAAAAAGTCTAGCGGTGTGATATCCAACGATCTTGGATTCCAATCGACCGGCCCTAAACGTGAAGCTATCTGCTCTCCGAAGTGTTCTATCAAAAAATCTATTGATTGATTCGATATGTGGGAAATGGCGCCGTCTTTTTGAAACCAAATTTCAGACATCAAAAAGTCGGTTATCATAACGCGGTAACTGTCCTCATTGACAGTTACGTCCTCACCGGCATCATTTTTGAAGAAATATGGACCGATGAGTCCACAAACCGCATCAAACCTTTGACTATTCTAACGAATCTTATCCAAAATTGAATGCTGGGTCTCAATATGGGTTATGGTGTCGCGAATAGTTCGTTAAGTAGCCCGAGTGTGTTGACCATTGGTTGAGCGAAGCGTGCGAAACACTCACGCCTGAACTGTCAAAAAAGGTATTGAAAAAAGTACATCTACTTGGATTACGCGCTACTTATTATGGCTTTAGCTATTCTAACAAACCCTATGCTGAATATGTCTGTTAGTATATGAGTTACACATGAATTTATAAAATTGCTTGAAATTAAATGAAAATGAAAATGGCAAAAATTATTGTCCATTACTATGTTCCCAATATAGCGTGTGTAATGATTTTCGATTTTCCACCTAACGTGATGTCATTTTATTAAAATTATTAATAAAAATACCATTAAATTTGGTCATATCTCAAACATAAGGAATTTTATTCCTCTGATTGACTTTTCCACATCAACGCAATATATTACATTTATTCTCTTCGGCTAAGTTTATATCACACACTTTCTGTCTACTCTTTGAAGCGCTTCTTGTATATACCGCGGGTGTTACCGTGGGATTGGTGCGAAATTACCCCTCAACAGTATCTTACGTACCAATCAATTTCATAAAAATAGACACACGGAGACACAGTCTCCAGCAACTTCAAAATATAATCGTATATTAAAAATTCGTAATGTTTTTTAGGAAAGTAGTAACATGGTTGCATGTTACCTTTTTACTGAAATTCCGAAATAAATTAAAAAATGTGAAAGAGACGAAAATGTTTCACGAACGAAAAATTTCGAAAAAAGAAATAAATTTATAAATAATATTCTCCAAAAACTTCAACGCTCTAATACTTATTATTATTAAAACTTACACTATACATTTCCAGACCTGTGATTAAGTTTCTCCTTCTTGCAAACCATTACAGTAAACAAATAACAAATACTAAGTCAACCTAGAACAAAGGATTACTATAAAAATAAAGCGTATGAATGTGAATGCATGTTATTAACTAACATCTGTGGAACATGTTTGAGGTTTAACTATTGCCAAGTTGGGAGCGTCATCACATATTATTATTATATAATATTAGTTGCGCTTATCAAACGTGACCACAATGGACAAACCAGCAATAACTGGCTCAAAAAAAATTGATAACTCGATGAGAATACAAAAACGCTTGCAAAAGGAAGCAAGAAAAAACGTTAACTTCGGTTGCACGGAAGCTCAATACCCTTTACAGGTGCATTTCTGTTARTAACTATGTATTCAGTTTGTATGGAAGCTACATATATGCTATAGTAATCCGTTCTAAATAATTTTTATGAAGATTATATTGTTACCTTAAGCAGTAATCCATACCAAATTTCGTGAAGATACCACGTCAAATGCCAAAGTTTTCCATACAGGCCCTTGATTCCTGTCGTTCGGTTTGTATGGCAGTTGTATGCT